ACCAGTGGTACTAGAGAGCCGGTGACAATAAAAAAGAGCTTTGAATCTCCATTTCATGACCAGTTAGGAATTACTGATGACTCGGTAAGTGCGGTTCTTAAATATTGGATCCGTCATGAAGTATTTTGCTAAATTATTTCTGTTTTAAAAACTTTTATAATTTTTTGAAAATAATCAAAAGCACAACAAAAAATTATAAATATGCAATTGTTGCGAAACAAATTGAACTTCATATTCTGAAAATAACAATTTTCTTGAAAGTCGTTCGTGTATAATTATGCTTAATCAGTCATTTGAAAGTAATGTCCTAACATGCGATATCCACAGTGATTGTCCGGGAGATCGTGATTTTCTTGATAAACAATTGTAAAATTTAATTCCTCATTTTAATCAATAAATTCATTCATTTATTCGTTTATTCCTGGCATTTTCTGAATTATTTTGTTCATTTCGATAAACTGTGATTTCCAAAGTTGCTAGATATAGAAGTACGTCTGAAAATTTCTTGAATAAAAAAGCTTGCTCGTAATCAGATTTGTAATTAACATTGGGATTTTTTAACTATTTCAGGAAACGGTAGTGATGGGAGGGGACATTGCGAGATGATAATGAGGTTTTAAACTGAGATAAATTGAACTAGCAAAAAACTGGCTTCGTTGCGTTCCGAGTGACTAGAATTCTGTTCAGTTCTTTCCCTTCCCTGAAAATGCTGCACGCAAATTGCTTCTTTTTTCCAAATTCATAAACGATTTCACATGCCGCTGATTATGCAAACGATAAAGTGATTTAAAGAGTCAATTCAGTTTCTAGAATTTATCGAATTTTAATTCATAGGATTTCACTACTTCAACTCAGCTAGCACAGAAAGCAGCATTAGCGGCCCTGGATGAGAATGCAAACATTGAGCAGCAGCAGAAAGGAACTGCCGCAGGATCGCAGTTCGCAAATGCTCGTATCACTTCGGGCGTTTTGCGACGCCGCAACAACGAATCATCGGTAAGTAAACCTTACGGTTTGTAAAGAACGTTAATGATGTGTCATAATGCATGAAGCTAACCAAATTTGGGCCATAGATGCTAAGGTTTTAAACTAACAAAAAAAAAAAAAA